CCCCCCCCTCAGTCCGTTACCCACCCCATGCCTCGATTCACTCCCAGTTCAAAAATCAAGAACATTATCGAAGTGAGTACAGAGGTGTGACACAGGCGGAGGGTTGCACTCGCCTGTTGACGTAATCATCGACGAGCGACTCGTTGCTGGGGTTGTCCTGGCACAGGGTGACGGCCGGGAAGGGCACGTCCCAGTTGTGGAAGTCCGTGTCCAGCCCCGTGATGGTCGGGTTGGTCTGGAACTTCTCCCACAGCGACACGATGATGACGAGCGCCGCGACCAGCCCCAGGACCGTCGTGCAGAACCACATGAACCTGGTGCACGTTGTGAGTGAGGATTGAGATCAAGTGAAGGACGGATCGAGTTTTCTGCGGTGCGGTCCTCAAGGCTGGGGATTATGACATTGCGTGGCGGCTTACTTCTCGATGAACGGCCTGCTGTTCTCGGCGATGTAGCGCACGCCGTGTAGGGTGCTCTTCTCGAAGTACTCCTTGGTCTGCACGATCACGCTGGTGTGGAAAAGCTCCCAGAAGGACCGCATGGTGCCTGCGATCTGCGCCTGGCTGGCTCCCGGAACTACTTACTGACCATTGCAAAGCGCCAATTATTTATTGGACGGACCATATCAACAAAATTGTTATACATATTGAAAACGTCTTGTACCGCCGTCTTCGAAATAGGAGCAGTCTGCTCTCCTGTCCGGTCAAGTCTGCAGGACCTCACCCGAGACACTCGCCGCTGCCGGTTGGTGCTGCGCGACGGCTCCAGTGGCCAGTGGTGGCGTGGGGCCTCCGCGGCTAGTGGCGCCCTGGGGCGAGGCGGGCTCGGGGGACCCCGGTGTCAATATGGAGACGGGGTAGGGGGCAGCGAGCGCTCCGGGGGGACACATGACTCCTGGTGGGTGACAACCATCTCTCAGAACGGAAAGTACACTCTGCAATAGATCCCACAGGGGTGGGTAGAGGGTGCCCCCACCACACACAACTCGCACACTGATTTCGTTTCTTAATCAGGCCCAAGGGTGTTGATTCTAAGATCGATAATGGGTACGCGGGGCTAGTAAAGTACTCCCTCTCCCTCCCTCCCCTCTCTCACCCTCACCCGACTGCCGACCCTGCGTGGCGCGGCAGTGCCGTGCCTCCCTGACGCGACATGGCCAGCTAATGGACTTCGATCGGCTTGTACGCGGCGTGGCGGCGCTCGTCCGGGGAATCACCGTG